TATACCACCAGGTCTCATACCGGTTTTGCAGGGCCCCTTTCCTCTGGTCTTGAGTCCTGGTTTGGAGAAAGCGGCCTCTCTGAACTGACACATGTTCATGTATGAGACTCCATCAGTGCCACACACCGCATCCTGCTCTTCACACACACAAACCTCCTCTTCATCATCTCCCTCTCGTCCTCCTGCAGGCCGCGGGTCCGCCTGGCAGCGCAGCCCGGTCCCGCACAGTCCGTAAAAGACGCTGCGGTCTCCCGGGTCGCAGGCTTGGCCCTCCAGGTTTCCGCACTCCTTACAACAGCCGCAGGAGTCCAGCACCAGTCCTGCCCGGCAGCCCCGGGTTTCCGGGCAAAGTTCTGGCTCACACGGCCCGCAGGCCTCCGCTCCTTCTGTCATGCTCCGAGCACCTCCACCTCCAAGCTCCTCATCCAACCGGTCGTAGTCCAGCAGAGGATCGGTCAGGAGGAACTGGGCGGGTGGCTCGGTTCTGACGTCGGCAAGCTGGCTGGGGAGAGCCCGGCTTGTTTGGAAGTTAAGAAAGAGACTCAGGGCAATAAGTCCTCTCATTCCCGGCATGTTAACCCCGTCTTTGGGTCCCCTTTAGACCCGAGAACATTCACCGGGACCGGACGGGTAATGCCGGGTCAGTCCGGTTCTCTCAGTTCATAAACAACCCAGAACTAATAAACGTTAAAATTGAGTCATTTCCGACTTAAAACGCCCGAAAACAAGAAGACGAAGAAAATAAATAAACAAAACTTCCAGACTACAACATTTGGCAAAAAAAAACTAAACAAAAACTAAAACGAAACCAGGTTTTTACTCTTCAGTAAGTAGACTACAGTCTGAACTGAGACCGTCTGAGGTTTAAACAGCTGAGCTGCTCGCGCTGCTTCGCAGTCAGGCAGGCACGAGTCCCGAAAGTCAAGGTGTCACAATAAAACATCCAACGTCCTGTCAAACCCTTCAAAATACAAACATGAAAAACTTTTCAAAGAGGTAAAAAAAGAGAGAAATGTGACCAAATCAGTTTTAGCCATTTTACCTGCTCTCCCATAGCCTATTAAAAATGACGCAAGACAGTTGATGCTTTGAATTAAACCAGATTTTGATTCTGGGCAATTTATTATCTGTAACACTTTCCTGTTTGGACAATTATCAGGGGATAATCAATATAAAACAGGAGACAAAATCCACTGTGGAAAGAGAGAGCATTCAGAGATACTCTAAAACAACAATTTAAAATACATTTTACATTCAGGCAATACCAAAAACAAACTCTAAACCATAACACGACCATAGTTCAAGCATTCAATCCCCAGCAGAGAAATAAAGATGCAAAGGAGTTTTTTAACATCATATTCTTACATACATAACATAGCCTACATAAAGATCAGTGGATTTTCCGTCACTTCACAAAGGTTCTCTTTGTGACCTGTGACCAGTGATCGATGATCCTTCTAATAAAAATGTGGGATTTATTTAAATTCATTTAGACATTTAAAAAAAGTAATCATACGAACGCCTGACAGACATTAGCCTAATATGTAAGTATGAGTCTTTCTTTTAACAGATAGCACAAACAGCAAGACTTATCTCAGAATCTGTAAAATCAAGAACTAAAAAAGAATATAAAAAATAAAATTGAAATATAGGTTATAAATATTTGTCATTTATTTTGAAGGCAAAGCTTTCATATTTCCGGTCTTGCTCTGTCTTATCTGACACAGTTTTTAGGATCTCACGGTAGCTCCCAGCTGTTGGTTAGATGTGCTGTGCGGCTCATGCTCCCTTCCCCCGCAAGACCTGACAGCTGTTATCCCCATCACCAGATAGGGAGACGGGTTTTAATGCATGGAAAGGTTCCCAGGGTTCTCCAGGAGGTTTTGGGCCACTTTTCAGGAAGTATACAGAACAAGTGTAGATGTCCATAAGGGAGTTTCAAGGATCTGTGAAGCTCATAATGTATAATTGTCCAAAGAGACTTTAAAGTTTTCAGGAATATTCTTTAGGGTTGTTGACTAATTCTGTCTATGGGACAGTAAAACAGCTTCACGTTGGTTTCTTGAGGACTAGATGTTTAGGGATGCTTCATTATCTTCTGAATATTTCAAAAGATGTTAACTTATAGGTGTTTGATTGTGCTTGAAAGAGCTATTGATCTTTTTAAGGAAACAATGAGATGCCTTAGGATTCCTCCCAAATTTCAGATGTCCAAGACGACCTATAAGAATCAGTAAGATGTTGCAGTTGGTATTCAAGAAACATTCTTGATTGCTTCAATGATGTTGTCCATATAAGTGAGAAAGAGTTTCTTGGGACGTGTTACACTCGAAATGTATTTATTTCTATAAGACTCTCATGTTTGACCTTGCTCATGTCTTCTAGGTTCCAGGTATCATTATGGAATTTTCTCAGGGTCTGTATCATTTCAGGGGGTTCGATGGTTCTTGACATGAGCTTGTTAACTCCTTATGAAGTTTGGATGTTCTTGAAATTGTAGACTATCATTTGACTCTAAGTTTATCAGGGTTCAAGGATTCTGCAAGTATTTTGGATTAGAATAAATAATTCCAGTTTCTCTTGGCTACTTTTGCCTCTAAAATGGATCTTCAAGAGTTTGAATGAAGATGACATTATAGGCCTACCAGACTTCCTAAAAGCGTTCCAAGTTAGAAGCTTTTCCTGGAGGAACTCTGGGCTCTAATTCTTAAAGGTTCACTGTGTATTTCAATTGGTAAAGTTATTGACAGAAATTAGGCTAATTATAACATTTGATCATGTTTATTTAGATTTTAATCCACAGAGTCTTCTAGTTACATTTCTACATTAACCCAGAATTGGCAAACCAACACACTAGCTTTGTAGGGTCATTAGTGCTTTAAGCAAGTTTGATGCAGGTGTAGTTGTGCAAACTTTCTGTTCAGAAGACATTTAAAAGATGACTCATGGACACCATTAAAAAGAAGTTCAAAACTAGTTCAAAAGTCTTGTAATGGAATCAAGCATCTGGTATTTATTGCAAATAAAATTATTTAAAAAGTAAACATATAAAACAAATAAACACAAGAGTAGCCAGATTCGATTTCACAACAGCTGCATTCAAGTTCACTCATCTGTTTAAGTTTATTATTGATTCTCCTTTCCGTCTTCCAGTCAGGTGTCAAAGAATACGACAGCATCCAGGGTTCCTTCTGCTTTCATGATCAGAGCTGCACAGATTAAGATAGGTAGGCCTATTTGTATTGCACATTTCATAAATAACATCATTGTGTCAAACAAACCAGCATAAAAAAAAAAAAATGAATGCAGCAACATGTCTGAAATTAAAAAAACACATGTCGGGTCTGTAAAATGACCATACCCTTATCTACTCAGGACTTCATTAGAAACACACAGGTACAAACACACAAGTACAAACACACAAGTACAAACACACAAGTACAAACACACAAGCCCACAGACGTACACTAACTGCCATGGGTACAATATATGTAGATGTAAAAGGACTTTAATGGCTTCTAAGATAACTTAAACAATATTCAAAAAGTTCTTTATGGGTATCCTCGGTCCCTGTAATGCCTTCCTAACCGCACTCGTGAGCTCCTGCTGTTCTCTCTTGGAAACCCCTTTCTAGGGCCTCTGCTGTTATGCCATCATAACCCCCTATGTTTTAGGTTTGTAAACTAAGTTTCAGTTAGTAGTATTTAAAATGTAAACAGAACAAATATTTAGCTCCCGGTCTTCATAAACCCTGAAAATTTGACTTCAGCATTTTCTCCCCAGACTTTGTGTTTTGAATACTCACTGATTTAAGTTTGTTTTTCTATGAGGCTTTGTCACTTTTATAGCGTCAGTATACTTCAAAGTAAAGGACTGAAAATAACCCAGCAGGGGCAGAGTGACAGTCATCGGTTGGACAGAAATAGAGCTGTAATGGAGGGTCTGTGGCTGCTGATGTTATACTTCAGTCTGCTCGCTGCGTTATTTAACGCGCAGCACTGTACTTTACCCTCAGGGATGTAACAAAATGCCTGCTGTCAGAGACACAGTCGGCACACACAGACAAACCTTAACATGGTTATTAGTGAGGTGTTTTCTGTAAATTGTGCTCTAAACAAGTCAAAACTGGCTTCCTTGGTATTTACCTGTATACGTTAACAGCAGCTCTGGGTCTACACATTTATTATAGCCTGAGGATAACCATAGACATGTACTTAACCTTAGCTGCACTGTGCTTCAAAATATACATGTGCTATCTGTAGTGAGTTGATCGTTTACATGGGAGGTTATGCTTAGTGATTATGCTGAACTGAGTCTGTATAAAAAGTACAAGTTATTAACAATCATGTTTGAGTTTATAATAAGACCCTTCTCATCTCACATGTGCTTATTATTATTATTATTAATATTATTATTATTATTATTATTATTATTAATATTAATAGTAATAATAATTATAATTTAAACAGTGAAAACATAGCCACATACCTACTGTATGTTTTTTAAAATGACCAGTGTTTTTTTTTTGTCGTAGCAAATTAATTTTCTGTCAGTTGTTTCCTAAACTTCTCAGGAAAGAAACATGATTTATAAAACTTGGAGAAATGAATACACATTTATTCAGCATTTACTCGATAGGTTCAACTTGATTGTGGTTTATTCCAAAGAGTAAAACGAGAGCATGTATAAAACAATGTCACAACACAATTCACAATTCATCCAATATGAACAGCAGCATTTCCTGCAGTAAATTAATTCCACTTTGTTTTGAGGCAGCATTACTTACTCTAGTAGCTTGTAGAATATTCTTCTTTGTATTTTATTACAAAATCCAGAATCAGAGTGCCATGTTTACTATTTTTTAACATTCTCCCTCAAATGATAAGGTATGATTAAAGCTGATCGATGCACCTGTAGGCTTTGGTTAATTTGCCTCTAGCAATTGACTTCAGGCAAATAGCTGTATACTTTCAGATATCAATAAAGAGTTTAAAAAAAAGAAGTTTCCACTTCAAAAAGTACACATTTATAGTCATATCCATGTACTGGATCCCCTCCCATAGATTCAGTTGAAAGATTGTGTGTAGTTTGGGATATTACTTGCAGTTGTCTATATCGTTTTCTTACTTTTTAGTTTGTGTTTAGTTGTTCAGTGTTTGGAAAATTGTGTATTTGCAAAAAAAGAGGATAGTTCTAATTCTATACCAGACATAATCATCACATTAGATAACACTGTTAAGGGTGAAGTTGCACTTTTATTCTGAAAAATGTAATTAAAGTCTTCCGAAAAGACAGGTGAAGCAATAACAGAGCTTTTTTTGTTTCAAAACTTGTTTCAAACTTTTAAATGATCATTCTACCAACTGTTACGCTATAATGATGTCATCAGAATACCCATGTAAACAAGCTCTCTGAATGTGATCTAAAGACATCAGATATGACTGTTTACCGAGCAGGGCAACATAATGAAAGACTGTCCAGCTGCAGAAATGTAAGATCCAGTGGATTTGGAGAAAAAAAGAGTCAGTATATCTCCTCCTCTGCTGCTCAGATCTGAGCCGTTAGGTTTTCAGTTTGTCTTTATTAAGAACAGTTGTTGTATGGTGGTGACATTTTGAAATAGAATTTTGAGGAATTAAAAATAGAGAAGTCTAAAAGGCGCCATAACTCAGAATTTCTCCACCATTTTCACAGAATGATCCAATATGGGGGAAACACTAAGAAATATCGAAAAAATGTGTCTTCCCTTTCTGTCCATCATAGCAGACAGACATTTTTTTATAATATGAGTCACATAATTGTAAAATTTAAACACCTAAATGAACAGGGTCATGACCCGCCTCTCCCCACCTCCTCCTCCTCCCTTCTTGGGGAGCAGATGTGGGAAATAAACAGACAGTGATAGTTCCAGAGCAGCAGTGCAAGCATCAGCAGCAGACTGCAGACCAGGAGGACGACCAGCAGAGGGAGACGATGACGTGCATTGGGTGATGGGGGAACACCACAGCTGGCAGGGAGAGGTAGAGGAGAGGGAGGTGGGGAGGAGAAGAAGAGGTGCAGTGGTGGAACCACAAACAGAGGCGTTTGAGTCCAAATGGTTTTAAATCAGATCTGTTCTGAGGTGCAGACATGGTCCTGGAAGTCCCGGAGATCCTGGAGGTGAAAATTGTTCAGGGCAACTTCAGGTATTCTCTGAGGATTAAAAACAAAAACAAAACTGAGGCTCATTATTCAGAGAATCAGTGCATCTCTATCTAAGGGTTGTGGCAGTAGAGGTAATAATTATAAACTTTAATTACTTTTAATTAATTATTTTAAAGAATTTTACAGTTGTAGAGTCTGTGGGTGGATTTCACCAGAACAGCTTTAGGCTGTGCCCAACATGGATCCTCAGGAAGACATTCTGGGGTGGATTGTTATACAGAATTTATTTCCACTATTAGGTGATACCAGTAGATGAATCTTTGTCTGTAGGTGAAGATAAGACTCTGTAGTCAGGGACTTAAGAGCACTACACTACTGTAAAGCATTCAGAGCAAATTGTTTAATGGCTCAATACCCTACACCCAAAAGTAGATTCACTAACACAAAAAAGTAAGCAAATCAATCACTAATTGTTGAAATGTTAGGTGTAGAGACTGTGAGTTGATTTCACCACAACAGCACCTCTGCATGAGTAGTCTGGGGCAGCTTAGGGCAGTATAACACTGTTAAAAAGCATGTGCACAATGCTCAAACTAACTGGTAGTAGGCTGCTATCAGTTTGGTGTTAACAGTGCAAATTATTGGCCTGACAGCAGTGGACAAAACATGACTCAGCATTCGGTTTTCATCACAGCTTGTACTTTGTCATTTTGGTGTGTATCAGATTTAAGCTAGGTACACACCGGGTTGACCATCCGGGGTCGGGGCTGTCAGAAAAAGACTCTGGTTATGGTTGGTATGCACAGCAGCGTCGGTACTGCTCTGTGCTTGTCGGAGGATTTTTGCCCGACTCAGCATGCCTTGGCTTGCCTTTACTGAAGCTAAAGTAAAACTTTAAAATTGCTCAAATGTGAGCAGTTCCCCATTCAACATCCTTTTCAGTGTACTTTTTAAGAGTTAAGTACACATGACATTGATTCCCAACCAGGGTGCTTCACCCCAGGGGGTTGACCTGCAGTTAAACAAAACAGTGTCTATATATTGAGTAAGATGTTAGACCTAAACTCAACACATTGCGATGATGTAAGAGGTCAAGAAAATTGGTTAAAACGACAGTCTTTAAATCTAAACACATAACTAAATCTAACAGATTTACAGATATAATAATAACATATCAAATACTTTGTTAAAATATTTTGCAACAAGTTTGAATTATAAGGTAAAAGTAATGGGTCATTGAATATTATATAATACCTTTAAGGAAATGGATGATATGATAAGCTGAAAACTGTATTGTAAAAAAAAGAAAAAGCACATGGGTGGAAGCATCCACCTGTCACTCAAGCAATAGGCAGCACCCTTAATAATTCATAACATAACTAAGAATTATTTAGATTTATACAGCTAGGTCATTTTAAAATTAAATTTTCAAGCTAATGAGACAAAAATGTGTTTTGTACCAGGCTGTGAACATATTTTCCCTAAAGTTGGATATTTTAACATGGTTAAAATAAAAAGCTCACCACACAGCTAAAAGCTGGGGAATGACTCACATTAAGAGCCAGCTTCATGTGGCCATTTGAGGAACTGCATTTCATGAGACTTTCATATTCACTTTATTTTTCGCCCCATGTTTCTGCTTAATTTTATCAGATGTTTCACCAAATTGTGCTCTAATTACTACAATTCAGTAAATGTTAGGACTTACAGAGTGGGAAAACTCAATCTGCTGAAGCTCATATTGTATATATATCAATTTATATATTTTTTTTAGCTAGATTATTAATTCTTAAGAAATCTTGAAAATAGAACAAGGGTAATTTGACAATGACCCGTAAATGTAATTTAATGAAAATTTCTGTAAGGTATTATTTGGTTTGTTTCCAACAACCTGCAGATTTAGAGACATTTTCATCAAAGCAGTAAGATGTGGTTATTGCTAATTAGCTATTTAAGCATCTGTTACATGGTGGATGGTTTTAAACTTTAGTAACTTTCCATGTAGAGTAACAAATACAGTTAGAAGAGTTATTTTTTTGCATAAACCCGGAATCTCACAATGGCTAAAACCAACATAATCTGCCACTGACTCGACATCTTTTTCAAAATTGTTCAACTGATGAAGATGCTGTTGGCATTTATAGGTTGTGATAATTAATTCAATAAAAATAAAGTGAATTTGTGGATTGGAGAAAAAGTTAAAGGTCGTCATTATACTGGTATTGTATTAGCCTGTTTGTTTGGGAGCTGGGTATACCCCTTCTTTCAAAAGCTAATTAAATATTTTAATGGAATCAAGGGATTGTTCTGGTGCAGCTTCAATGTTTGGGACTAATTCACAATGTTAGAAACAGATATCAACGTGTTGTTTGAATGCTCCAAGCCAAGAAATACAAAATTTGTCCTTTGTAGTTGTTCCGGACTCAAATTTCAAACTCTTCAACAAACTGATCATAGATAATAAAATTCTTCCTAACTTAGGATTTGGGGTCATCAAGCCAGTAAACACAGTCTGAGTTCAACTCACCAATCAATGTTCCCCTTTGTTGGTTCCTTCTTACTTTTTCTTCTGCTGCTCCACTTCTACGTTAGTCTTTGACCACAGCAACCTTGACCAATAAAATAAGCTGACCAGAAAAAGTCAGATCCTGAAGCTCCTCAATGATAATATGCATATATATATATATTAATATTCACATTAATCAGATACAGATGACCACTTACTGCTGAAGGCAGGCTGGTAAGGTGGTGATGTGTTGAACAGAGGAGGAGGTAGATGATTGTGTGGACACATCCTATCTTTTATTAAATGACCTTCAAACTGAGAGTCAACAACTAAAGTCCATTTGCTAAACACAGAGCTGCAGCCACAAAGCACACATGCTGTGTTGTGTAACATCAAATTTGACTGTTCACTTGTCGAGAACGTTAAACCATTATTGTTGGCTATTGATTCAAAATTGTCTGCCTGTAATGTTGGAATTAAAACAATGACAATCTGCCCATTTTTCTTCCTGAAGTTTTTATATCTGTGCTGTTTTAAAAAAATGTCAGTAAAAATATTTTTAAAAATTCGGAGGGATCAGTTCATTAAAATCTGGACGAATTGAAAACATATTGCATAGCTTTGAATTCAGGAACATTCATTAAAGACAACTGATTTGAATTTAGAAACAAGCAAGCCTTTTTCATTAGCAAAACAAGATTTGTTAAGATTCCATCCAAAACGTATATGAATGAAACCTTAATTAAAATTGCATATTTTATCCATTGTTGTGAAAATATACAAAAAAAAGTAGTTCAAGAGATTACATGTGTCCTGCTTCTCGTTTCTTACATTAAATTACTAAAATGATTTTACAGTGTTTGCGCTGTGTGAAATGTTGACATCAGGGGTCCCCAGTCTCTACAATCTTATTTTGGGAAACGTTGGGAACCCCTGGACTAGCCAACAGAGAGACGGGGTAAAAGTCAATATTTGTTCAATGAGTTGTTCATATATTTATTAGGTGATAGCTTCCATGATTCTTTAGTTCACAAGGGCTCTTTAGCGTGAGTTCAGTTGAGTTATCAGGCATCAGTTTTGCAAAATCCTCAACGGAAAATGATCAGTACAGACATGAAGATGTTGCTCTGTTACATGTGAAGTGTTGTTTAAAAACATCAGTGAAGCCGGCCCCAGCCTTTAGAGTTGATTATTACTGTCTTGGTCACCTAATCTATATGGTGACCAAGACACTTTTAGTTTTAACCCTCTGAAAATGCCACAACTAGCCTACCAACTTTGATATCTTCAAAGTTCTTCAAAGTACACTTCTAGTGAAGTTTGAGAACCCCCCAAAAAAGTCTTTACTCCTTGGGCTAAGCAAAAAAAGCCAAAAATTACATTTGAAGTCTCCTCCTAACCATTATACCTTCCTTTCATTCATGGAAAACGTAATAAGGTCAATTGAAGTTGTGAAGTTGTATGAATAAGGATGAAGGGAAAGACAACTGATTTGCCCAGAAAATCTGTGTACTGTCATTGGTATGATATTACTGAGGAGGTCTACAGTTCTGAAACTATAATTTACTTACAAAGAAAGTAAGTGTTGATGACATAAAAGGACATCCATAGCCTGGTGTGTTCTTTGTGTTCTTTCATAAAGGCACATGGACAACCCTGTGAAAAATATTACCTCATTAACCAGCTGTGTACATTTAAAAGGCAGTGCAGCCCATCATGCTCTCCGGCATGAGTTTGTTGGTTGTTCCAAAGTTCAGGACTGAAACCTTTATTGGGGAAGCTTTTGGAACAGGCTGATCCACGTTAGAGAAAGCCAACATTTTGCTATCCAGGATCAGCTAATCCATCCTACTTTTGCTACTTTTGTTTTGATCTTTTAAAGTGTAAACATTTAAAAGAGAAAGATCTGAAAGTATACAGTGTCTTTTAAAGTGTAAACATGGGTTTCTTAAAGGTGGTAGAAGAACATAGCCTCCAAAACCAACCACTGATTCTATCAAAATGATAGACAAGCATGAATTGGAGCAAAAACAATAGAGAAGTGGCAATCAATGACCAGAGGAGTGATTGGAAAAAAAACACACATAACTGAGATTCTCATACGAAAGAAAACTAAGACTGGCTGGTAAAATGGTGAATAAAGTGCAACTATATGCATCCCTTTGGCATTTGAGGAAGAGGATGCCACTGAACAACTCTTGTGCCGTTTATGAGTGCATGACAAAAGTCGCAGAGGGCGTTCCGCAACCTGATCCAGGAGCTCCGCTGGACTTACCAGAAATACCCAAAGATCTACCGATCTGCTCCCAGATGGACTCCTTTAGATGTATGTTGCTGTATCGTTTGTGACTCATGTCATATAACTCGGTGTAGTGTGAAACGGCAATCACAAGCTGTTCAACCGGTACTTTCACGTCATCCACCTAGGTTGGTGTCTTTGTTGGGCATCGTTATGATGGAAGGTACATGCGCACCTCCTCAACTCGTCCTGATCGGTCAGCTGTCAGAAAGGCGCTTGATGTCACACAGCGCTTCTCTGAAAAGTTAAAACAATTCAACTGAAAAAGGTGTCAGGTGCAACGCTTTTAGAAAAGGCATCCGCTTTTAAAAATGTTGAAAAGTTGAAAAAAAGAAGTCAAGTGTGAACACGGCCTTAGGCACCAGAGCTTACACACACACACACACACACACACACACACACACACACACACACACACACACACACACACACACATATTCTTGTTTCTATATCTGAACAGAGAGTATATCTCAAATCATCACTTGTGGGGACATTTCTTTCTTAAAGTCCTGGATGTCACAAAACTTTAGGGAAACTTTCTACTGCTTACTATGCGGATTATATATATATATATATATATATATATATACAAAAGTCAAATAACACATTCATTTTGATCAGTTAATAACAGTTACATTAATTTTAAAAATCACCAGAGAAGAATGGTTTTCAGTAAACAGCAGCTCACAAATGTATATTCAAAAGAAAAGGGCAGATAAAAAACTACAGAATCTCTTTTGACTTCAGTATATGTTTGTTTATTACTGGAAACTTTATCTCAATATATAAGTTTCAGTATATGCTGTACACATGTTTTACATTTCTTCAAGTCTGGTCACAATAAACAATTATTTCGTCTATATTTCCCTAATAATTCATCACATGAAATTATTAATTGCAGGAACTTCAAAGCAATGTCTCATGTCCTCTCCATGATGTATTTAGGACACTATTGGTCCAGTAAAATAGGGTGTCATTGTTTGTTCTGGTCCTGATAAAAGCAGTTTCTGGTTTAATTATCAGATATTTCCCTCTTTTACATTTGAAAAATATAACTTTACATGACAAATCTGAAGCAAGACCAAAGGAAGATGCTGCGCTAACACATGCTGACTCCTGAAGAGATGAAGGGTCAACTCTTCACATTCCTAGACAGAGTGTTGCACAGAGGGAGGACGGAGCGAAACTTAATTTTCTACAGTTTTAGTGTTAAGACAGAAACATAAAACTTCAATCCAAAAATATAATGTGTGTACAGAAACAAGTTATTCTACAGCAGTTCAACAGAAGTTTAATGTGACCATAGGTCTTTAACAAACTTGACTTCAATTCAGTTTACACATGATTATAGATTAAATACAGTGTGACAACGTCATAATCATCATCATCTGAACAACAGCAGGAACAAAATAACTTTCAAAAAAGTTACATCAGTGCTTAAAATAAAAAAAACATTAAAAACAAAGAAATTTTAAAAAGTCATGACATCATGTCATTGAATGACATCAGAATATAAGCATCAGGGTGAACTGCACAAACACAGAGTCACTTTAAGTGTATGCTTTATTTAGTGTACTGAGCACATTTGTATTACCAATACTATACCTCTGTATATTGTTTAACTTCTCTGTAGACAATTACGTTTTTCTGAAAATGCAGATATTGAGGTAATTCGTTCAAGAATTTGCTCAATGTGAACTATTCATACTGTTGCTAAAATGACTTGTTGAAAATATTGCACTAAAACTATTACACTGATAATGCACATATTTTTGTATTTACATTTGTTACAAATTGTAGATTGCCTTTCCATATCTTCCTCAACAGCTTGTTATATATAGTGTAAATATGTTCTTGTCATATTTTGAAACGTAATTCTAATATATATTTTGTGTTCCTACATATGTGTGTATTTCTGTTTACTGGGTTATAAAACGTTTTACCTTAAAACATAAACTTCAACAAGGCACTACTTCCAAATAAATTCTATAGAATAATTTCCTTTGTAAATGTATCAAGAGTAAATTTAGAGCAGCTTTGAGAGAGGCAGCACAGCCCACTGAAGATATGCAATACAAAATCTCTTTAAGCTGTTCTGTAAGTAACAGAGAGAATTACAAATATTATTAAATCAGAGTCATTTTGTCTGAAGGTGGAGCTTGATGTGCAGTAAATTGTGTTTAGCTTTATTCTTCTGTATGGAAGTAAGTGATAGATTAGTCTGTTGCTCAAATCTTAAAAGTAAATGTAAAATAAAACAACGGCTCTTAAGTACAATGATCATACAGCTCATCAGCTTTATAATCAATTCAGTATTAAACTATTTTAATCATCAAAATGGAAATAAAGCAATACAAAAGAGTAGCTAGACTTACTGTTACTTATGTTTAAAGCGAATCATGGTGGTGCAGCTCCCCTTTCATACAGCATCAGTATTTACGTGCGTGAAGTGAAATGAGCCGAACGTCACTGAGAACAAAGAAAACATTTTGTTCAGCAACATACAGCTGAATTTTATGTAAAAAGAAAAGTTTCTAAGTGCAGAACTTTAAATTCTTGATATCATCTGAACCACAGACTACTCTCAAACTTTGATCACTATTTCCTTTATCTACATATCAGTTCTACAATTACCCCAGGGGGACTCTCAGACCTTCACTTGAGGAATAATGCAATGTTGTCTTCAATTTGTTCAGTCAAACGTATATAAAAATGTTCAAAAGCTAATGAGACAAAGTGAGTTTAAAATCGGTTATATACTGGAAAATCATTCATGAAGACCAGAAAGAAAAAAATGTTGAACAAACTAATAGAACAGAAAATATGTTAAATCTTGTAACTGTAAGATCAGTAATATAGCACGGTCTGACAAGAGCATAGATGTCGACTACGCTTTGGGAAGTTTAAGAAGAAACTATGGCAGCGAACTAAAGTTTCTAGTAAGGGAGCTAGTTTTTTAACTGATTGATATTTAAAATCTTCCTTCAATCAAATACAATTATTCTGTAATATTCAGCTTCTCACATGTGAATGTTCACAGATATTTTTTCAAAACAAAACAAAAAGTTACTATTTTGTCAAACAGTTATAGTTATTTAAATAAAACCAATAACCGATTCATAAATAATCAAACACTAGTGTTTTTCAGTTCAGAGCATCTACAGTGATTTATCTCCTTTACAAAAAAGTATTACAAGTATTAGATTTAACATTAGCATAATGGTTAGTGTCATCTCATTGTTGAGAAAACCTCTTATTAGTGCATTTTGGGACAGGGCACAAATACTTGGCAGGAACCATTTCATCGTTTAAGGTAATTTAGCCTTAGAAATAGCAGCAGTGTGTTGTTTATACAGTAAGTAAGCCTTTTATAAATATTTGTACATAGAATTTGTGTTACCATTTAGACATGTCACATTATACCAGGAGACTGGAGATTCACATTTTCCTTTTAAACTCACACTGGCATTAATATGTCATTATCCTTATCTGCAAATTAGCATAAGAAACATCTGAACTTCTCTTTTAAATTCAATAACTAAATAAAATAATAATTCTTATGCCAGTGTACTGGCTGTGAGGATGAACCAATAGTAAGTAACTTTGGCTAGTATTAGGTCTGTAGTTTAAGGAAATGGAACAACAATCTTTGATTAGCATTTATCTGTCCTGATGTACTGCTGAACAAGTCAAAACTATTTCTGAATTTGCAGGCAGTGCTATAGAGTTAATATTAAATGTAAATAATTTTTGTAACTTTGTACTGGTGGGTTATCTGGCCAGGTCTCTCTCTATAAAAACTTTAACATTTTGAACATGTTAAAACCAGTTTTAAGTTTCCTAGTTCTCAGTGAGGCTCTTGGCTCAAGTTTGTATTTTTCATGCACATGTGTACGTTCTGAAGAACAACATTAACTGTAATGACAGCTTAAACTTTAGAGACGGCAGCTACATCGCTTCTGCAGAGTGAAAACCTCCTAACTCCATCGGGCCTGTGTGCACAGGCCTGTGAGGAGTTAGAAGGTTTTCACAGGACATCAGTTTCTGGCAGGTGGGAGTAACAGTGTTGTTGAGGTAGACAGAGACTGACATCTTCGGCAGAGACACAGTGGAAAGTGGAGCAGTATATACATGTCCCATTATGCCCTAGGACTGTCAGGGGAATGGTGGGCAGAGCCTCTGGTTCAGGAAGTGTTTCCTTATGCTTTCTAAGATATTCTTCAAGCCCAACAGATCCATTTAAAGCTACAGAACTATTCAGTTAAATTTAAATTAAAGAACAAAACACACAATGCATTCCTGATGGGTTTGATTAATAAATACAATCTAAATTGTTATTTTAGTTGTTGGACTGTGCTGATATCAATCTAACTTAACGGAAATGCATTATAGATTATATCTGCTATCACAGCACAATTTTCCCTCTTACAATCTAAATGATTGCTTTAACTCAGAAACTTAGTACTAAAATTATACAAACTTAAAATAACAGCTTTGTTTTTATACATCACTTTAAAACTTGCAGCTTCTTTAAATAAATGAAAGAACAGTTTTACTTTAAAAAAAATAATAATTCAAATTTGCTTGGCCTTAAAATTCCCATTTAAGGCCAAGCAGTGTATATTTTGCTTTTCTAAAACTGCCTGCTTGTTTCTACTTCCAGTGCCTCAGAGGTAAGTGTCTTAAAATAATAACAATCCCAATGAAGGTTTCTTTTTTAAGCAAGCTTCCTTTTTTAGCAAGCAGGATGAGTCAACACAGTTTTCCTTAAAATGACCAACCTACAAAACTTTGTCTTCTTATTTTTGGCCAGAAACTTGCATATACAGTTGGTGATAATCAGTGCAATGAACGTCAATCTTTTTTAATGCACTAGTGCAACTTTTGAATTTGTGGGAACTTCAGATCTAAATGAAACCATGTACAAATGGTAAGGTAAGTACAATGTTTGACTTTTTTCACTTAACTTTACATCATTTAGTAAGCTAAGAATCTAAGGGCAGTAAAACACTGAGTAACATGACAGATTATGTCAAATTTTCTGCTTGAGAGTCTTTCTGCTGACTTTTCATATAAAGCATCTGTTATGCAGCCTCCAGCTGGTCTGGTGGGCTTCTTTGGGCCTTCTGGTATATTACAAATACTACACATAAATATAATAAATAAATTAACAATAAAATGCTGTAACTGTAAACACCTCAATGATAAGTCTGTTACAGGCCATTGTTGGGGGGAGGGGGGACTGAGCACATAACAATAAGCTTCCTGAATCACTGAACCAAATTGAATGTCAGGTTCCTTCATGGCAGACCACAGATTCCACTCAGTTTGTTTCAATTAAAGACTTCATGAGCCTCATTTGTGGAAAGCCATAGCAGATCCATACGGATTGATTCAGAGATCCAGGTCACGTCTGTGGTCATAGGTTTAAGGTACTTCCTGTCCCAGAGGCTTGACTTACCTATCACAACCTGATCAGGGCTCAGGATTGATCAACAGGCTCTTTACAGATGAACAGGTTCTCAATTAATCGGGTACCTGATTGATTGACCGTTTACTAATCAATCACTGCGTTTAAGATCCATCAAGGAGTTCTTAATGGATTACAGAGTTCCTGATCGATTGAAGAGTTTCAGATTGATCAAGAATTTCTCAAAGGATTGACAAGGTTTCCAACTGATCACTGGGTTCCAATCCATCGGTCCCGTCTGATCATTGGGTTTCAATCAATCCATTGGTTCCTGATAAATCAACATGTTCCTGATACATCAACAGATCCTGTGTGTTTCAACTTGAAGGAAACATCTTTGATAGTTGGAGTTCGAGTTTCAAGGCGAGGTGAACTAGTTCAGGTAACTGATCAGTCCGATTGATGAGTCAGTGCTATCAATCAGTGTGAGAAACAGGAAACAGAATGAACTGTACAACACCGATGACATTGACCAAAATAAAACATATTTGAGAAAGTTATTTCTACATATAAGACCCTCTGGTTGGAGGAGGCTTACAGCTACAAGCAGAGCAAGGCGGGTATTTATATGTGTGTGTGTGTGTGTGTGTGTGTGTGTGTGTGTGTGTGTTGTGTGTGTCTGTCTGTGTGGTGTGTGTATGTTCTGTATTTGGTAGCAGATGGTGTGTGTTTGAGTGTGTGCATGTGTTGGCACAGTGTGTTGCCATCATACTCTCCTTCTTCTCTCAGAGGAGGTTTAGTCTGTCCATCTGTGTGTGTTTACATGATGTCTGTTTATTTATATAATATATGTGTGTGTGTGTGTGTGTGTGTGTGTGTGTGTGTGTGTGTGTGTGTGTGTGTGTGTGTGTGTGTGTGTGTGTAACATGTATGTTTGTCCAGAGGGTCTGTATGTGTGTGAGTGAGGCTCAGCAGCAGCAGTGAAGTTCTCTCTCTCTCTCTCTCTCTCTCTCTCTCTCTCTCTCTCTCTCTCTCTCTCTCAGACCACAGTGCTGACGGAGGGATCAGATAAGTTGAGCTGGCCGGTGATGTCAGTCGGGTACGGCTACATAGGAAGAGAGGAACAAAAAGGGAAAGGAAAGAGAGACAGAGAGCAAAAGAAACACACACATTAATTCAACACCTTAACTACGAACCTTGGAGCCAATATGGTGGATGTCAGATTCTGCCTGATTTTAGTTACATTGGAAACATTTTCTTCAAAGTTTTTTTCTTCTTCTTGAAAACAGTAAAGAAAGGTTTGAATCAAAGAGACATGAGTGTATTTTAAACACAGGGCTCTTGTGAATATTAGGGGGTTTATAGAACCAAAGAATGTTTGATAGATTTTTTCAGTCGTGACATTGTTCTAAAGACTCCATGGGCAAATACAGTAATTTTACCTTGCAAAACAAAAATATAGCACAGGCTCAATCTGGGATTTTTCATGGCATTGTGTGACTTTTGTGCTTTGTATCGTTACGCTATATGAACAGAGAATTTGTGAAACACAACTAAACAGGCAAACTAACCGATATAGGAAGCCGCAAATCACAACTCCTGTGTGGAGGCTGATGGCTGTGATGGGAGATGATGTCAAATGAAGCATTTACCTTTTGACAAAAACGTCTTTCTCTGGAGGAATAATTTCAGTATTAAACACTTAAAAATAAGTGTAAAAATAAATTGAGCCCAGCAATAAAAAGTAAACACTAACAATTGACATACTTTAATTAGGCAAATTTGTGCCCAGCATTTGTTGCATCCTGTTTCGGAGCTGCCAGCTCAATTTACTGAAGCAATTCCAAATCATTTGGTACCATTTTCCAAATTCAGACACCAAAACATGCAAAACTTGGACGCAAGTTCAAAAGAAGTGATACTGGTGTAAAGAAGGATTTTTCTTCTGCTGTTGAATTAAATATATTATCTCATGTAATATGACTTCAGCTCTGCCATAGGGAACATTAATCTAGAATCTGTCATGTCTCCAAGCAGAAGCAGAAGTATACTAACAAGGTTGTTAGTATTCTCTGCAGCAGTCTATCTCAATGGGACCTACTTCTAATATTAACAAAACAATGTGGAACTCCCTAAGTGTTTCCTCCTGGCTGTAGGTCATTATAAGAAGACAGATGTTCCCTTTAAGTACCACTAGCTGTTTTCTTCCCTTTTTTATTTTGTGAAACTTTTCTGCAATTGGATTGCAATTTTTATAATGCCCCCCTTTTTTTTTCTTTTTTTTTTACCTTTATTATTCTGTCTCTTCTGTGCTTTTCTGGCTTGTTTGTTTTGTCCTGTTTGTTTACCGTCCTATAGACTGTGCTCTCATACTGTCAAGCTTGTCTGTCCATGTTTGGGTTCTGCTCTGTTACCCATCCTGTTTTTGCTCTGTTTATCAAAGCAGTGTAAACTAGCTTTATAAGGTTTATAATACTTATTATTATTTGTGTTTGTCCTGTGTGTGAATAGGGCTTTTTGACTGAGTTTAGTTTTGATTCCAAAAGGCAGATCTAAGACAATTAGTGCACTGACAGAAAATGACCTGTTCTGATAATGAAGTTATAGTTCGAGTCATTCATCACGGTGAACAGAATGTCAGTGTATTTTGGACATTTGGTCAAATAAAAGATGATACATAAAGACTTCACCCTGGAATATTTTCTAGTATTTAATAGATTTACTGATAAATGGGCCTTAGCCCTGGAAGACACTCTGTCAGGTACAGTGACATCAAGTAGTCTGTGCAGGAAGCTGTGAGTGCCTTGAGGCTACAGGTCAGTCGTGCTTGCAGAGGAGGATAGAGGCAGTGTGTGTGTAGCATGTATTCTAGACACCATTCAAATCCACTGAGAGAGGAAAAACACTCATATAGAAAAAAAAGATAGATGATGGAGAAATGAGACCCCCCCCTCCCCCATCAACCCTGAATGATCTGTCACTGCCTGTTACTGAACATTAACAAAAACATGACTGAGCTGCACATGTTTTAATGTTCAGTTACAGACTGTGAGAGTTTGATCCCTGAGAAAAGACCCTTGTGGGCTTCTTGTTGCATTTTGAATCCCTTCACATGAAATTAATCGGATATCTGAGGGCGAGGGGATTCAAAATGGCCGACAGCTGTGGGTTTAAAAGACAAGGAACCATCACAAAAGATTTGGCACATTTCAGATGTTCATTGTATTAAGGTTGTAAAAAATATTTCACAAACTAAATACAACCCCTCCCTGTCCTTTATAGAAGTGAATGACCTCTTTTTAGAAAGTATAAATGACTTTTTGAGTTTGGCACAGAAATTATGTATTTCTCGCAAATTGAGGACAAATATAAAAATGTGATGCTGATGAGAGCAGCCACAGACAGGTCAAAATCATCAGCACTGATGACAGAAATAATCCAGAGTTACAGGTTTTTTATGAAGTCAGTATGACTCAGGCAGAGATTCCTGTTGGAAGAGCAGAGCTATAAAAAAAGATGTCATTTATTAGCCAAGGGAGAAGCCATTTACGCTCTGACACATCATCGCGTCTGACAGCTTTAATTCACCAGCTCCTAAAACTGTCACCTCGATAGGATGCTGAAAATGAGACAAGTTAGAG